CACACACACAACAGAACACACACAACAGAACAGAACACACAACAGAACACACAAACAGAACTGAACACACAACAGAACACACAAACACACAACAGAACTGAACACACAACAGAACTGAACACACAACAGAACTGAACACACACACACACAACAGAACACACACAACAGAACTGAACACACAACAGAACTGAACACACACAACAGAACTGAACACACAACAGAACACACACACAGAACTGAACACACAACAGAACACACACACAGAACTGAACACACAACAGAACACACACACACAGAACTGAACACACAACAGAACACACACACAGAACTGAACACACAACTGAACACACAGAACTGAACACACAACAGAACACACACACAGAACTGAACACACACACAGAACTGAACACACAACAGAACACACACACAGAACTGAACACACACACAGAACTGAACACACAACAGAACACACCAGAACTGAACACACAACAGAACACACAGAACTGAACACACAACAGAACACACAGAACTGAACACACAGAACAGAACTGAACACACAGAACAGAACTGAACACACAACTGAACACACAGAACAGAACTGAACACACAGAACAGAACTGAACACACAGAACAGAACTGAACACACAGAACAGAACTGAACACACAGAACTGAACAGAACTGAACACACAGAACAGAACAGAACTGAACACACAGAACAGAACAGAACTGAACACACAGAACAGAACTGAACACACAGAACAGAACTGAACACACTCTCACAACAGCAGCAAGATTTAATGAAGGAAGATCATCCAGTTCTGTAAAGCAGAGAGCTGGAATTATAATTTTGGTCACATCACACGGGTAAAACACTGCAGCAGAAACACACACACACACACACACACCTGTGAAACACCCCTACTCTAGAGCTGCACTGACTCCAGAACAGTCTTTCATCATCACTCAAATCTTGAACAATCATTTAACATCAACCAGTTCCCAAAGCTGAAGAGTAGCGGCACACCGCTGAACCAGCAGAGGGCTGTCAGTGCTGTAGGGCGGGGCTATAGGGGACGTGGGGAGGGGCTATCAGTGCATGTCTCATTTCTCCTCTAGGCTGCAATCGTGCACCATCTACGCTCATTTCAGGGGTGTTTCAGAGTGGTGTGTCACAGCAGAGGAAATGACAATCTTCTGTTTCCTGGAGAACACACTCCTCCATATTGTGTCTGATCTGCTCTGATGTGTAGCTGTTCAGGTGATCGCAGTAATGATCTGAAACACTCGTGTCCAGCTTATATTCATATGCTGTAGTAAATATACAGCAGTTCTTTATCATAATCCTTGTAAAATCCTGTATTGATCATCAGTCTGAGGTATCAGCGCAGTATTGATCATCAGTCTGAGGTATCAGCGCAGTATTGATCATCAGTCTGAGGTATCAGCGCAGTATTGATCATCAGTCTTGTGTGGTAAACTGCGCAGAAACATCAGATTAAACACCACAGCTGAAATATCCAGCAGAGGGAAGCACAGATCAGACTGCACCACGGTCAGATGAAGGTGGAGTCGAGCGCGCTGCTGTCGTGTGCGCTGTGAGCTCGAGCCTCGAACAGCTGCTTGATCAGGGCACACTTCTCCTGCTCCAGCTGACTGATGCGCTCACTCTTCTCCATCACTTCCTGTAAGAGACAGAAACCAGAGTCAGAATCAGCAGAATCACAACCCTAACCTTAACCAGCATTTCACTTCATCTCCACCGCATTACGCTCCATGCTTTCATGTTGCTGACGCCTAATTGTGAGCCGAGCATCCAAATGTGTCAGCAGAAATGGAGACTCATCAGAGCAGCAACGTTTCTCCAATCTTCTATTGTCCAGTTTTGGTGAGTCTGTGTGAATTGTAGCCTCAGTATCCTGTTCTTAGCTGACAGGAGCGGCACCCGGTGTGCTCTTCTGCTGCTGTAGCCCATCCGCCTCAAGGTTGGCCGTGTTGTGTGTTCAGAGATGCTCTTCTGCAGAGCTCGGTTGTAACGAGTGCTTATTTGAGTT